CTCCTCACACAAGTATTTCCAGTCATTGTATATCAAGGTATTTGCCCCAGCCACTGTGTCTCCCATGGATCTGGGCTTGTAAGGTGCCACCTGCATCACGCGTTGCTTCCCTTTCCCAGCCTTTACGGAACTCGCTTGGTGGCTCAGGGTATTTGGCAAGGGTGGGAAGAAGATCTGGAAAGGGGCTTTCATGCATTCCCATTACCCCAGACTCCTGAATTCTGCCTAGAATAACATATACCACCTTTCTGCTGTTGAATGAGCCTGAGAGGTTTTAGGTAATCCCCCTACAGACAAACACCCCCTGCATTATAGCTAGAGGAAGAATTGTGCTGGATGGGGAGGCAGAGAAGTTGTGCACAGATGCGCTAAAATGGCTCGCATAGGCATAGGGGGATACGCATGGAAAACACTGGGACAAACCCAGTGTTTCCTCTGCAGGAGACAAAAGCTGCTTGCCCTTGACACAAGGATCAGAAGCAAAATCTGTGTTCAAACTTGTGGTTGCTGCCCCTCATTAGAGCTGTGCAGTCACCTTAATAAACAACATATGGGAAATCTGGGGTAATTATTTGCCAAGAAAGCAAAAATAGCAAAATTTTAATGGCAGCATTAAGAAATATGCTGTAAGGAATAAGTTGGGGACAGAGTGGTAAAACATGCTGCCTTCTTCCATTTTCATGAAAATGTGTCAAAAATGCATAAATTAGTAAAGAAAAACCCATCCTATAACACCTGGCACTCTCTCTGGCAAAAGGACTAGAGCTCAGATGTGCTTTCAAGGCAAACCCTGCAACACAGGACAGCTTGGAAGCTTACCACCCCGCTAACCATCCCCGAAGGGACCATGCATCAGATCCATGGTCTCCAAACACCCTTCTCCAGAGTGGAGGAGGTGCACATGAGGCAAGCTGCCCAAGGCAGGAAAAGGAAGACCCTCAGTTGCTCTGCTTCTAGTCTGTCTCAGAACAGTCTGACAGCAGGCTGTAGTAGTCTCCCTGTCTGACTGTCCCCTTCCCTTCGGCCAGCAGACCCATGCAGAGACATACACTTCGTGGCACCCTGCTGTAACTGGCACTGGGGGAGGAAAGGGGATGACGGGGAAGCTTTTGGGGTTATGGTTATATACCTTATCACCAAATGGAAGATTTCAATCTGCAAAGATCTATCAGTCTAACATATTACACGCAGATACATGCATACATCAGTTTTTGTTTGTTTTGTTAAAAAATAAAGAAAGAAAATAAATGCCTGAAAAATATTCTTCTCTTGCTATAAACACATCAGTGCTCATTTTCCCTATATTCTACTTTGGGCCATTTTGTGTAAAATCTTTAATTAAAGTTTTTCTTTGAAATTGTCATCATCAAACCAGAAGAAAGAAAGTAAAAAACGGAAGGACACAGCTGTGCATATATGAAGTGCTATTCAGTACCAAATGAATTGGAACAAAATAAGTATCGTGACTGTTATGCTCTTAGTTTTGGCTCTGTATTCTCAGTAGCACAGTCTAACTTGTCACTTTATATTGATTCCATCTGTTTACACTCTGCAGACTATTGGCTTCCTACAGTGAACATTTCCTATTTACCAGCTGGTAAAGATAGGCCCAAACCAGATAGAAAAAAATTAGACTATTTTCGGATCCTCATAAACATAAAATCAAAAATTAATGGGGGAGGGGAGATAAGAGTACGGAGGGGAGTGAGGAAAATATATGGGCCTGATGTTTGTTCATATTGATAGCCCTTTATAACCCATTAGCAATTTTTAGAGACCTTGAAATTTGTGCAATGAGTACATAAAATAAATCAATTTTCAGTCCTCTTTACATTGTGTTTTACATGAATAGCCTTATTGTAAATGTGAATCAATCCCCGTGCTTCAGCAGTCTTTAAAGAAAAACAGTTGGGATCTGAACCTAGCTAATATAATATTCCCACTCCCACCAGCCAACTATGAGTGAAAGACCTCCATATAAAATGGATGTGCACATGCAGTACAGAGCCATCTTTGCACTCTGACAAATTGAGTTTTAGTTATTTCTTTTGCATACTTGCTGGATTCTTTTCTTAAGAAGACTATTATTTGGAGGGGCTGACTCACTTCAGGAGAGGCCTTTTACTGTCATTAAAAAAAAACCTGTTTCAGGCTGCAAGCTCTTCTTGAACAAAGTTTTATTTTTTAACATTCGGGAACACCGTGTCATTGAAGTTGAGGCTCCTTTCTGTGGTGCCATGTCCTCTTGCAAGTATTTCTGGGGAACAAATCCTGTCCCTATTTTTGGAGTCTTAGCAGCTAAGTCAGTGAAGTTGCATTCCACAAAGAAAGATTTGGCAGATTTGGGTGCTTAGAAGATGAGCTTCCCTTTATCGAACACGTCTCCTCTGCGCCAGGGCAGTAGCATGCAGCCAGGGCATCAGCCAGCCAGGAACATGGAAAATAAAGGTCTAGACTTCTGGTATGGCATGAAAGTTCTGGTTCTTGTTACCCACAGCACATAAAGAAGTGCATAACTATCCCAACTACATTGCTGCCTTACTTCCTTGAAGACTCACTGAGTCAGCAGAAAAGAGCTCTTTTGTACACCATCATTTATATTCCCAGACAAACATCTGTTCAGCGTTTGACCCTCCTTCCTGCGCCAAATGCTTTGCTTAGGAGACAGCACTGGGGACCCTACACATTGTGGCCATTTTCCTACAGTTTGCTGTTACTTTTCTTTCTTGATCGGTTGGGGGGTTCCCCCCCCTTTTCTTGCTTTTCCCAAGACAGTGACCTTCAGGAGTAACATTTTATTACCTTTGACGGGAAATGATGGAGGGACTCTTACAGTCAAAACTAAACTTAGAGATTTGCCCTGGCATTTGAAATCCTCAAAATACTTCCTAACTTATCTATGTTTTGCTGAGCAAGTAAGAATGACTACACAGGCAGTAAGACTTACTTCCAACAAATACAACAAATAACTTTGGTGTCATAAAAACAGGCAAGGTCATCCCTCAATCATTTGGTCAAGCAGAATGTCAGCATGGCTAGAGTTTCTAAGTGAAGTACAGTGATGAGAAACCAAGGCTGCCTGCCAGGTCTTGGTTCCCCTATGTCTTTTCACTGACTAAAAAAAAGATGCTCTGAACTACCTCCTGCTTTTCTTGATCTTGGCCATTACAGGTACATGTGGTAGGTGGTCCAAATGTAGCTTTCTGCCTAAACAAGAAGAAAATTACTATTCCTTAATTTCCTGAGGACATTAGGAACTTTTTCTTTTGGTTTTGTGTTTTGGTTTTTTTTCGACATGCGCACACAAATTCAAAACCCAATCAGACTTACCAATATAAACGTATCCTTGACTGATGATGTGCATCCAAACAAAGCAGAATAAGGTTTGGTTTGGGAATAACCACTGTGATATGTTACAGATAAATATTTAGAAGAGTATACGAACTCTTAAGTGTAGCTGAATAATTATCTGTGTACATCATACATTTACATATCTTGCAGTACTTATTTAACTGAATTGTTCCCGTAATATAAATGTAGCAGTAACCTTGCCTTAAGTTAATGATGTTTTCTGTTAATGTACTAAAATATACATAACAGCTCCATATCACAATGCTGTTAAAAAAAAAAACATAGAGCCTTGTAAATTAAATATACCAGACCTCTAATTAGGACTTTGGAGAGTATTTTCAATTCATAAATTCTATAATAAGAAGATATTTCAGCAGTTTCCTTTGTGATAGGAAACACTTAACATGAAAACATAAATGTTACTCTTCAGTTAGCTGCATATAGCCAAATGAATAAAAGCTATGACATTAATAACAACTATACCAAGTTATGATTGATAGGCTTTTCTACAGCGAGAAAAGATTGTCTTGGATACAATCTGTCCTAACAGCCTTGCGATATGTTAATATTTTATTCAGACTAGAGTGAGGATATATTCAGATGTCCTACTCAGTGGAAAAGCAGCAAATGGGTTGCAAATACTACTGCAGCCCTGAGGTGCAATAACAGCTGTGAAATCAGAAAGATTTTATTTCCCCCTCCCAAATTACAAGCCAAGCCCATGCCAAGCACAGCAGGAGGTTGGATTTTCCTTGGAATTTACATCAGGTTATGTTTAATGTATTTCTTCTTCTACGAACAGTCTTAGGGTAGAGCCAGCAGACTGTCACACGGTGCTCTAGAAGGCATGGAATACTATTCTGTGTTCTTGTAAATAATAACTATTATTAGGCATGATATATGACATTAGATTAACTTGCAAATGCCCAAATATAATAAAATACAATGATGTTGATAAACAGATTTTCATGGGTCAGTTTGTGCAAAAATAAAATAATAAAAATGTAGCTTTCCCATAGTCACACTACCACTTCCTCCTCAATTTAAAAAAGGGGCTTTGTGCTGTTCAAATTTGTGTTGAGATTTAAGTAGACTGAGCTCTCAGGTGGCTGGATACTTCTAAGTAAAAAGAGTACAAAATGCCTAAAATGCTGTTCTTCTGATGTGACAGAATGTTTTACACCAGTCTTGCAAAGGGCTAAACAATTACAGAAATTGTACTGCCATGGGGAATCTAGTTTCTTAAATAAGTCAAGCATTGTTACTCAAGCCACAGGCATCTAGTAACTAAGAAATAGAATCATGGTGGGACTGTGCCAGTCCTACACCAGAGATTTTTTGCAAGACTGCTTGAAAGAGAAAAGTGCTTAGGTTTTTGATGCTAAGAGGGGATTCATTGTATGGATGAGAGAAGCTTTTAAAATACTACTTAGTACTTTAGCATAATTAAAAAAAAAAAAAACACAAACCCAAGAACATAAAACCCCTAAGCATACAAGTATGACCAGATCTTCATGATACAACAACAGGGCAACATCCTTTTAAACATGTTACTAAATTCATATCAGTACACCAAGAGCAACATCTACTTATCTGAAATTAATTACTACCCTAGCATGTGGTTTCTGTCATTACCCTGGTCAACATACTTTCTCTTTGAGCAGGGATTCCAGATGACTTAATGTCATTGTTTGGCGACTGCGGCCGTTCAACCTGAAAATAGATATAATAAAAAAGATTAAATGAACATAAACCACAAGTGCATGACAGTACCATTGAAGACCACTGTAGGGACATCAATGGGAGAGTTTTGTTTTTGCACAACTACAAATGTGAACAACTACAAATGCAAGGAAGTGGCTTGACCCTGCCTTCATTGTGGCTGTTCTTCACAGCTCTGCACTACTCTTGGAGAAAATAACCACAAATCTGGTTCCTTGAGCAGAACAGAGATGTAGCAGCTGCTCCTCTACCAGTAGCGTGATTACTGTTAGTGTAAAGTATTTTTTCTTGAAGGATTTTTTTTTGCTGCCCTAAGGGACACAAAGGGATATTAGCAGCTTGATCTGGCCCTTGGGATGAGAGAGTACTTGGGACCCCCAAGGTCAAGAAAGTTATAGTGCCAGTTCTCCCCTCTCCTCTGCTCCCATCAAGTGTTCTTCAGGGAACAAGCGTGTCTCCTCCTCCCCTTCTTCCCCAGCACAAATCTGAGATCCATTTGTCACCAGTAACTTTCAAAATTCTTTTAAAGATTAAAAATACATCGCCTTGCTTTTGCTTCCTCACCCTATTGACTTGCAATCAAGCACCAGAGCAGGTCATTTTCAGAGTCAACTACCAGCCAAATTTACTTCCACTAGTGAGTTCTGCAGGTGCCAAATTCCACTTTCTGCACATCCTTTTCTGGTTTCAGCCTTAACTAACTGCTTCTGAAAAGCCTTGTGCAATTTTATTCATATCTGTATTTGTGGGATGAAGTCCTAAAAGCCGAGCCTCTGAATTTAGTGGATTTTCTTGAGTTTTAAACAGGGAGAGAAAGTAGCTCTGATAATTGCGCCTAGCAAAAATCCTGGAAAACAGCACCTGTACTGCCCTCCAGTGGTGAAATTTCATCCATCGATGCCTGGTAGCTCTAACAAACCTCCCATTATTTCTTCTTCTCTGTACGTTGCAGTCTCAGAGCAGTTCTCTAGCAAACTAGCTGGCCAAAAGACAAGATCGTCTAAACATGATCCTTACTTTCCACATTTTAGTGAGTTTAAAAGGAAATCAAGAGTAACATCTTATGTATTCTCCTTGAACACTGGAAGAAAATCTAACCCCAAGCATACAAAAAGCTTTACCACTTTATTATATTGCACGCAATAAAGAAAAGATTAACCTTTTATTCCAGGAAAGATCCCTCGTTTGTTATTTAATCAGTTTTCACTAATTAATTAGGATTTTTTAAGCTCCCCTGTCTCTCTGGGAGAAAGTGGCTTAGGTCCCTCTCTTTTTCTTCTTTTCTTTTGCTGCTCCTCTTCTTCCTCCTGCTTCCTTTCAAAGTCCTAATCCCATTTTTGTATCCTCAGTATTACACTCCCTCATTCTCTCTTTGTCTGAGAGTTTTCTTAGCTTTGCACTTGCTGGGAACAAAGTTGGACTGGAATTTACAGAATATTTTTTCAGGCAACTCTTTATTGAAGGCCAGATCATACAAACCCACAGGACAAACTGAAGGAAAAGGAATTTCCCTGCAGATCCCCTTGCAGAATTTCACCCTTTATATTTCTCAGGGGTAGGGGTATGTGTGTGAAAAATATTTAGTGCTCCACTAAGACAGCTACTGTGAGAGCACAGATTTGGGTGGTGGTGGTGTGTGTTATTTATTTATTTTCATTTTTTATGTAGAGTATGGCTCTACTTTCCATTTTACTTCACTGAAGGTAAGAATCCAAACTTAATCCTAGTTCACACACAGCTGGTGTCTTCTCAACTCTATTACTGAAAAATTACTTGCACTGGAAACGAAGACGAATTTGAGTTATTTACTCCTGAAGGATTGAATCCTGAAACATTGTAACTTTCCCATTACTGGGTCCCTTGGCTTAGCTTCTATGTTTCGCTTAAAGACCTGTCAAGCTGAGTGGCATGTTTTCAAATCCCTATTAAACTGAATCAGTTATAATTTCTTTCATACACATCAACTTTCATTGTTAATTTAGAGAACAGACAGATTAGTCTTAAAGGTTCATATTTTTCCAGTAGCAGATCAGTGGCTTAGCAGACCATTCCCTTCCCTTTGGCAATCAGGTAACATTCCTATGGTGACTATGCCATTACACATACAGAAAAAGCGATTTTAGTATAAAAAGTATACCACATCTCTATGTCACTAGAAGTTCACATTAGTAGCTAGATTTTGCCTTGAGAGCTAGATAACTTGCAAGTGATTTGTGAGTACAATTTAGGAGCAATTTGACTGGATACTATGGAACACTTACCTTTTGAGCATGCTGGTACTTCTGGCAATTTTAGTGAACTTTGACAGGAAGTCAAGATATGGCACAGTAACTTTGCCAATATTTGGGATCTGTATTTCAATATACATGCATGAGTCCTACAATGATATCAGGTTTTTTTAAATACTTCATTTGCATTACTCATTCTTTTCTTAAACAGCAAAAATACATTTTTTTCTTATAATTTTCATTTTGTTTTGTGTATTATGCATTACTACTTCTCAGCAACTTGTCTAGAATTAAGTAGAGCATTAATTTAATATCTGGGAAATCCCTCCCCAAAAAAGTTACAACCTACAAGTCTTCTCTTCACTAAGATAAAGTTTTCAACTCTCTAGCTCTATGACCTTTCACATGTATGTATGAAAGTATATTCATTCTCATCAACCTCACTGATGCACCCTTCTCTTGTTCCAAAAGACTATTTAATGTGTTTCAGGTGTATATGTGTCCCCCTAATGATAATTCAGTATTAGCAAAGATTTTAACACCAGTCTTAGCTGAAATGGGCTTAACCCATTACAGACTGATTAATTTAAAATGCAAATGTAATAGATCAGTTCACCCAAATTAAACAAAAAAACAAGAGTCAAGTACATTAGAAAAAAAAATATCTAAAACTTAGTCACCTACACTTTCAGGACAGAAATTTAAGTATACAATAATGCTTGTGCAGATTGTGCATCAGAATCCTCCCCTATTATTTGTGCCAGTCATGATATCATATAAACACCCGATGTTCCTTCAAGTCCAATCTGACGATGGTTTATAAGGTAGCAAATACCAAAAGTGAGCCGCGAATCTCCCTGTGCAGACAAACAACAGTCGGTCTCTGACTCAGAGTTCACAACCTAAACTATGCATATTCATAACACTGCATGTATATGAATTTAAGATGTGAGGGTTTTTTTTTTTAAATCAAAAAATCTGCTAGTAAATTGCAACTCTTTCAAACAGTGAGACACACTACAAAGAAAAAAACTCCTCATATAAACATACGAATTGTTAAATTTAGCTCACATTACTTTTGCAACTTTTCTATGACTTTCACTTGAACAGAAGGTTTTGACCATGCCTAGCATTTTTTTGATAATATTGCTCTGGAACCTGCTCCCATTGAAATTTTGCTCTTGACATAAATAGGAACAACCTCTAAATGATTATAAACAGCAATGATGTAGCATACCTCTGCCAGCACAGCATCAAATTCAGCTTCTGTTAGATGGAAGAGAAAGGTTTCAATCACTCTCCTCAATTCGCCCTTTGTGACTGTCAGGGTCTGACCAACATCAAGCATCTGAAATGCTTTTTTCAGTTCATCTTCTTTTTCAGCTGTCTTTTGAAGTAAGATCTGCCCAGTGTCCCAGGAGAATAATGTGGGATCTGGGACAGAGCTTACAGGCATAGCTGTAAAATATATTAGGCGGTCCTAAGTCTGGCAAAATCACATATTTTTCTGAAAACTCAATACATATCAGTTCATTTCTAGAAAGAGACAAGTAAATCAGTTATTGTTTGTCCGCTGATTTGAAAGCAATAAATAACCAAACAAAATATTTAAATAAAAGATTCTGGGGTGTCTCTTTCTGCTACTACACCCAAACCAGTAAGTTGGAATATACACTTAAGTTTTGAAAGTTAAAAAACAATAAAGTTACAGTGTATAGATGTGTCCCATGACAGCAGCCCTCCCACTTCAAACTACAGAAAAGATCTCTTTGCCCTGTAAAATTTAGAGACTTTATTCAATTATTGAGCTTTGAGCAGAGATATCGTGTAGTAGTGGGGTCAATATTCATCGTCTGTATATGGATTCTATGGCTGGTAAGTATTTTAGGACATGCCAGCCCCTTTCCTGCTAAAAACACAACCAGCAGTGGAGAGCAGAATTACCTGACAGTGCAATATAGTGTACAGGGATGCCTTACATTACTTAAGACACCTCTGGCTCTCATTAGACTTGAATAAGAACTAAACAAGAACCAAAAGATTTGGCCTGGTGTTTCTTTTGGATTCATAATGAGCCAAATTCAGCCACAGCTATGAGCATTTAATTATCTTTTACTTGAATCAAAGGAGGTTTTGTACACAAGTCTGAACACTGGTGCTAGTTCACAGGCATTTATGTTTTTTCCCAACTTTAATCTAGGATCTGCTCTTAAACAAAATGTAACCACCTTCAGAAGAAGCTTTGTTTACAAAAAACAAGACGGCAAAATACAGCTTTTTGTTACTTACAGCTTTGCTGCAGTTTTATGAGCGCCAAATTTTTTCTTATGCTCATCCCTTCCTTATAATGAAAGTATACAATCATGGACGCCTTGCACATTTCATTTCAACTTCAAGCCCTACTGACAAAAGAAAGCATTCAAATTCACAGCTGGATACAGCTTCGGTGAAATCAATAGAGCTGTCACAGCTTACTCCTACAATGAATCTGACCCTAAATCTAAAACTACATGGCAAGGAGAGGAGGAAAAGTGACATGAACCATGATGGAGGAAGCCTCACATGATAATAATTAAAAATTACTTGCAAGAGGAATGTCCACATTGGGATTAACAGCAAATTCTACTTGATTGGAACAAACTATAAATCTTACTGCTCCAGAAAATGAGCTTTCTGTGGTAAGTGTACAGTCATTTCAAATGAGCTCCCAAAGGATAAGATGTATATCAAATCTGGTAATGTGTTATAATTGGAAACAGTGATCTTGTAGTGACTTCGGAACAGAAGTGAGACGGTGGACCAAAGAAGGCTCTCTCTCAAGTTTCAATGGGCTTTCAGAGAAGGGAAGAAAACAAAGACCCTGTTTCCTCACATATAAGCAGGAGGAGCAAAAGTTGAGTCAGAAGGGCCATGGCTCCCTCTTCCACCCTTTCTCCATCAGTAGAGCTAGATTGATTTTGTTCATGTCCACAGGATCCAGCAAACATGGTGTATCTATAACAGACGATTTCTCTCAAAGTAGTGAGGGAAATGTGCCCCAAACCCTAAATAGCACAAGGGCTCCTGGGCCGCTTCAACTTGCTACATTGAAAGGCACCACTGAACCCCAAGCAAACAATAGGACAGAAAGGACTGAGAGGATGATGCCACCTGCAAAGTTACACAGTGCTTGTCCTCTGAGCAACAGAAGGATTTAGATTTAAAGTCCCAAGACTGTGAACACTTAGACTTCAGTACAAAACTGCAGCTGATTTAACTGAGCACCGCCTGCTACCCAACAACAATGCTCTGTTTTGGTAGAATGAGGTCCTGGGGTAAATGTGATGCCTTGAGAGGAGGGGTGCAAGGCACTGAGGTCTCCTGCAGTTGTTGCTTTAGCTGTGGTCTCCCCTGGGTTTAAAACAGGATTATGAGAATAGGCAAGAACACAGGACATAAAAAGTGGCAGTGTGGCTGGCAACAGCAACAAGAGAGACAAAAACTGAATTCTTGACATGAGACCTAATTTGCTGATAAAAATATTGACTGAGATAGTTCTTGCTGACTAGCAGTGACCAGATGAGAGGAGTTCACAGTTTCTGTGGTTGTGCCGGATACTATCTCCTATGTCAGCACTTTCAGATAAGCACTTTAGAGTAGGAGACTAGGGGTAGACTCCTTTACCATCTCTGGAAATGTTTCTAGCCATCATCTTGAAGGCTATGTACATTAAAGTACTCTAAAAATCTTTAAAAAGACAACCTTTTAGTAAAGAAAGCCTGCTATTTTATTAAGCAATACAATTGCTTAGATGTTTATTTAGACTTTTAGGCTTTTGCAGGAAAAAAAAATGCATGTACCAGACACCAGCTCATTACACTAATTGCTCTGTTTTATGAAGAGCTATTATTAATTTTCCGCACCAGGAAATCTGAGGCAAAGTCTACTGTAAGTATAAACAGAAGAGCTAACTGGGAAAATAACAATCAGACATAGTATTGCACGGCACATGCAACAGTTTCGTAAGTGTGGCTCACTGGTGACCCGCTAGGCAATGTTAAATGGTCTGCATCTGCTCAGTGCAGCCACACAGCTTGAACAGCGCCCGCGACTGCAAACACCATCATGCGAGCTCCTGGTAGGAATGATCAGAGCCGATGATGCTCTACCGCTCAAAACTTTGTGAGGTGACGCTCTGGGGCTTATTCAGTTATGATGAGGCATTCGGTTTTCCCCATGTGGAACGTGTTCTGAGTGCTAATAACATAAGGGTGATCCAGGTGATGGGGCTACCACCTAATCTTTTCCATGCCATTTTACAGTCATTAGTCACAAAAGTACTTGCAAATATTGGCAATCTTATGCACTGGATCACAGGGTAATTCTATTGATACTGTGGTGGTTTGACCCTGGCTGGATGCCAGGGGCCCACCAAAGCCGCTCTATCACTCCCCTCTTTAACCAGACAGAGGAGAGAAAAAGTAAATCAAAGTGCTTGTGGGTCAAGATAAGGACAGGGAGAGATCATTTGTCAGTTACCATCACAGGCAAAACAGACTCAACTTAATAAAATTAATTGAATTTACTATCAATCAAAATCAGAGAAGGAGAGGATAAAAACTGCTAAGTCTTAAAACACCTTCCCCCCACCCCTCCCTTCTTCCTGGGCTCAACTTCACTCCCAAATTTCTCTACCTACTCCCCCCGAGTGGTGCAGGGGGATGGGAATGGGGGTTGGGGTCAGTTCATCACATGTTGTCTCTGCCGCTTCTTCTTTCTAGGGAGAGGACTCTTCCCCTGCTCATGCATGGGGTCCCTCTCACGGGAGACAGTCCTCCATGAACTTCTCCAATGTGAGTCCTTCCCATGGGCTACAGTTCTTTGCAAACTGCTCCAGCATGGGTCCATAATTTCCACAGGGTGCAGTCCCTCGGGAGCAGACTGCTCCAGCGTTGGGTCCCCTGCAGGGTCACAAGTTCTACCAGCAAACCTGCTTTGGCGTGGGCTCCTCCCCCCATGGGTCCACAGTGTCTTGCCAGGAACCTGATCTGGCACAGGCTCCCCACGGGGTCACAGCTTCCTTCCTTTGGGCATCCACCCGCTCCAGCGTGGGGTCCTCCATGGGCTACAGGTGGATATCTGCTCCACCGTGCACCTCCACGGACTGCAGGGGGACAGCCTGCCTCACCATGGTCTTCACCACAGGCTGCAGGGGAATCTCTGCTCCAGCTCCTGGAACACCTCCTCCCCCTCCTTCTTCACTGACCTTGGTGTCTGCAGGGCTGTTTTCTCTCACATCCTCTCACTTCTCTTCTCTCTCCAGCTACTGAGCTGCAGCCATTTTTTTTCCCTTCTTAAATATGTTATCACAGAGGCGCTTCCACTATCGCTGATTGGCTTGGCCTTGGCCAGTGGCGGACACAGGGAAAACTTCTAGCAGCTTCTCACAGAAGCCACCCCTGTAGCCACCCCACTACCAAGACCTTACCACAGAAACCCAATACAGATACTTATGTTGTTAACCCCATCAGACACTTCAAAGGAAATATTTTTAAATTTTTCCTCTATTACAAACATAATTAAAAATTAGAAATTTGTTTCTCCCCAAACTGAGCGGCAGTCAGAGAGTATAATATATATCCTCCTCTCTCTGATATGCATCAATCAATTGCACCTTGCTCGTGCCATTCAGTTACCACAATATAGAAAGCAAATGTTAGCACAGGGAATTCTATGAGTTCTGTAGCCTTCTGAAAATCCAGCATGCTATATACAAATGACAGAAGCCATATAAGGAGGCTCAGTCAATTCTCTGTCAAGGGAGATGAGAAGTAAAAATACAGCAGACATTGCAAGGCCAAATGAAAAACAGTGGGCCAAGAACAAGACACACTAGTCCTCTAGCAAAAATGCAGTACTGTGCAGCATTTTACACAGGTAGAAAAGCCCTTCTGCCCCCCTCCTCCCCCTCCCCCACAAAAAAAAACCCCATCCAAAATGAATAAACAAACAAAACCACCACAGTTCAAACACTTCAAGTTTTCATTACCTAGCTCAGTGTTTTTGACTACTAGTGAGAAAGAGAAAGAAAAAATACGAAAGATATGAGAGAGAGAGAGAGGGGGAGAGGGACCATTCCCAATGGGCAGTTTGCATGCAGCAATTCTCTTTCAAAGGGTGAGAAGCATTTAACAGTCTGGCTGGGGGCTATTCCATGCCAGTTCGCCTCAGTGCCAAGAAACAGTCACAAGCATGCTTAATTTACTAGCATAGCTCACCTACAGCAGTAACCCCTGGCAGATGTCCTAGCTCTGTAGCCATCCATTAAAAGAAATTAGTCTCCAAGCATTCTTTCTCCACCATTCAGGTGGAAAACAACCTTTTCTTCTTCATCTGATACATGGCTAAGTGTCGTCATTACTACAGTCGCTTGGCTGATACACTTGCAGTGGCACCCGTGCAAGTTTGGCTCCCTAG